CCCCAAAACCCCAAAACCCCAAAACCCCTTTAAGGATCCAAATTTGAATAATCTCATAATTTATTTTCCCCAAAACTCATGCTTATCAGCCTGTTCTGGCTCTGCTTCAAAATCTCCCTCGCCTTTCTACTAGCCTTAGCTATTTTTCTTTGCTATACCATTATCTACAAGCCAGTGGTATTCAGAAGGAAATATAGCAAGTATCCGAATATCTTCGTGTCGAAGAAGTTCAATCCTCTGATTGGTGATCTCAACAATGAAATGGAATGTGTGAAGAATGGAAAAGTTCATTATTAATACTATGAGCAGAAGGCAAATGAGTTTACGAAATATGATCTATATGCTAAGATGGAAGGCACTCAGCCATGTATCCTTGTTGTTAGTAATAAGGCATGCAAAGAGTTCTCAGAGCGTTTGGTTATGTCTATTAAGAGATGTAACTCAAGGAAGGGTATGTCAGAGATGTTAACTCATTGGTTTGTGAACGATAAGACAGATAAGAGCACTCTTCAAAGAAGAAAGAACTTCTCACAATGGCTGGGTCTCAGTTCTTCCTCCAGATACATCCCCAGGATGATTGAGAGTTGCCAAGAGGTCGTTGACAAAATGGCTAATGAAGAGAAGGCATACATCATGAGCTATATGAACATGGTCACCTTCAATATTTTCACTAAGATTCTCTTTGGAGATGAAGTTGATGAATTGGTCACAAAGCTATACCCCTATGAAAATCCAGATGGAGCCACTGAAGACATCACTCTGAGAGAGTTTTTGATTAGACTAACCAGAGAATACTTAGCCACACTCTATAACCCGATATGCTTCATATTTCCTTTCATATCCGACTACAGGCTACAGTCATCCCAAAATCTCTTCTTTCCTTGATAACAAATCTTTTTAAAAAGAACTACAGATGACCCCCAAAATTAGTCTTAGTACTAAGCCTTGACCACGAGGCTCTTGATCTTTCTTTTGTCACGGCGAATGACCGCAGGGGTTTTGAGGCTTAGATATAAGAACTTACAAGCGTTCAAATGTCATCTGAGGGATATTATATCCACCTCTAAAGATACAGAAAAGGCGAGGGTAAGCTTAGGGTTCAACTGTAAGACTTCAGTCGGCACCAAGTTTTATACATGCACTGATTTCACAGAAGATCAGAGGATTGATGACCTCATGGGAATAATGGCTGGAGGTACAGAGACTACCGCCCATTCTTTGCTATCTTGCTTGTACTATTTGAAGAAGTATCCTAATACCTTGCAGAAACTTAAGGAGGAGCTTCACAAGGAAGGATTTAGAAAGGACGTAGACTATGAGAAGCAGTACACTGTTGAGAACATCCAGAATTGTAGTTATTTGAATTGCATCGTTAAAGAAACATTTAGAAGAGACGCCTCAGTTCCTGATACTTTTGATTATTGCTCTATTGAAGATACAGAAATATGTGGAGTACCGATTGCTAAAGGTATCAAAGTAAAACTGGACTTAGTTTCTAATCACTTTGCAGATGACCAATGGCTTGAACCATTAGAATTTGTCCCTGAAAGACACGACATTGAGTCTGACTTCTATAAGAAATCTCGAGATGCCGGTAAGATTCAGAATAGCTACTCCAGAAGAATCTTCAGTCATGGTAGAAGGAACTGTGCTGGGCAAAGTTTAGCCAACATGGAGATGAAGGTGATAATTGCTTACCTAGTAACCCACATGGAGTTCACATTTGACAAGAAAGATCTGGAGACTGAAGGGATTGGGTTTGGGATCGCCTCTCAATTTAACCCAAAGATTACAGTTACAAAGCTGTAGTGGCAGACATATCTGCAATAATTTAGCAATCTTTAAAACCAATATGATCTTGAAGTACCGGGGTTTTGGGGTTTTGGGGTTTTGGGGTTTTGGGG